ATTCGAACCCGCCACCCGCAGATTGTGAGTCGAGCTCCCTAACCAACTAGCCATGCCGGGCCTAGTTTCTCAAATCATATGTTGCTTTATAACTCTAACTTTAAAAATCACTAACGATAAGACTTTTTCTTTTGAAATTGCAAAAGGAATTGTGAAATTAATAAAATACGATATTTCATACTTTACATCTGTTCTTTGGTGTTACATCAGCTTAGTTTCCTCCGTTCTGTGCTTGTACTTAGCGTATGTGTATTTTTATGTCCAGATTTACCCTGAACAGAACAGTTTTTTATTGGTAAAATTTATCATCACGAGTCCATTTATTCTCCACAGCAGTCATTTGCTATCTGATGATATACCTACAAAAAAAACATACATTATCCCGCATATCAAGCCTATTTTATATTCTTCTCAGTACCAGCGTGTTAGATAAACCTAATGATTCCGTGTTGTGTCCCCCCTCCCCAAGATTACTATTTTATTATTTTTTTGTTGTTGTGCTAAGTTGCCCATGCAACACGCACTGTACCTTTCGGTGCCAGTGTTCATTTCTCTACTTCTCATTTATTCTTGTATCACCGAATTCAAAATAGCTAAAATGTTCTCCGATGACATGATTAGTTGCTGTCAGCAGCTCGTTCAAAAATCATAATTTTTAAAGTTCACAAAATTAGACTTGAACCAGTTTCATGTAATGTTTGTGCCATTGAGTTACTCTTGAAATGAATCGGTTCATTGTGTAAGGTTTTATGACTGATAATCATTCCTTTTTAGTTGAAAATGGCAGATATTACCTTCTACTATCTACTAGAAAATTGTATAACATGAGGACTGACTGTCCGAACGATAAGCGAAACCCAGAACAACCTGCAGCAATGGAGATGTTGTCGAACCGTAATTACTTTATCAATTACTTCATTTCTTATTATTATCACTTGGGACGTACACGTAGAAAGTAGATAAAAGGTTTTTGACTCCTTATTTACGAAAGGAGAGTGACGCTTTACGTCAAACAACTTTATAAGATAGAGACGATCTATGAAACAAACATTTACTTTTTCTTTGTTATTGTTACGCCTCCGTTCGTTAGTTAATTTTCCGTATAATTTCTTCCCGAAGAAACTTTACCGATACGAGTCCTTTCTTAAATAAAACTGGTTTATTCTTTCTGAACACAACTTTGCGATACACTTAATTTCAACAGTCGCGCTATTACAAATGCTATAATTCACAACGAACGTCTCACGTGACCAACAATATTCTCTCTCTGTCCGCAGTTCAATTACTCATTCCCTCCTTCGCCTCAGTTCTTACTGGTTTATATATATACAAGACTACACTATATCTAGAAGGATCCCGAGATTTAAGGAAGGGACGTGAATGTTCGAGAAGGACATGGCGTGGTACTAGTCACTTGACCTCCGCTGACGCAACATTATTAAAACTGTTTGAGCTGGTGACTTGCGATACAATTTGGATTGTGTAACAAGATTAATTTACCTATGATAATTAGGAGACGACAATTCTAGCGGGTAAGGACTATATGTTTGCTTCTTTGTTGATTTTTGCGCAAAGCCATCTGTATTGTTTGTTTGTTTTTGAATTTCACGCAAAGCTACACGTGCGCTAGCCGTCCCTACATTAGCAGTGAAAGACTAGAGAGAAAGCAGCTAGTTATCACCACCCACCGCCAACTCTTGGGCTACTCTTTTACAAAATAATAGTGGGATTGACCGTAACATTATAACGCCCCCATGGCTGAAAGGGGCGAGCATGTTTGGTGTGACGGGGATTTGAATCCGCGACCCTCAGATTGCGAGACAAGCGCCCTAACCACCTAGCCATGCCGAACCAGCCATGTGTAATCTTGAAGTGATAGACTAGATGGAAAGCACCACCTAGCCAACACTACTCACCGCCAATCTTGGGCTAATTGAATAGTGGAATTTGACCATCGCTCTTACAATGCACTCACGGCTCCAAAACGTGAAGCGCGATATATATATATATATATATATACACAAATATCTTTGTGGTAACAGAACGCGATCCACAGTTCGGCACGCTAAATACTGGCCACGCTTGTCCCAGGAGTATAAGACCTCATTGGTCCATTAAACACAAAATGGACAAAGAAAACTACAGCAGTCAAGCTAAAACATTTTTTTATGTTCAAATATAAATTTTAACAAGAAATATAATACATCATTTCTAAGAAACACCCATTTTAGCGAAAAATAGGTAACAGTATCAGATAAGTTTTTAGCTCTAGATTTGGAAAAAAATTAGTGTGGTTAACGAATATTTTAGAATAATTAGACACACAAAACTAAAAGAGTCAACACTTATCATATTCTCAATATACTTAGTAAGGAAAGTATTATTTGAGAAATTTCGCTGTGCTCAGTATATAGTTTCTTACTTTGTTTGTACATTTTACATGATAACAACTGATTTACTTGTATAGGATATTTGGATTATTTTAACCTTAAGTTTGCTATTTTTAGAGATTCCGACTAGTAAACTACACCTTAAGTACAAAAAAGAGGGTTGTCGAATTCCACTGCAAAAAGCATTGCAACATTAACAACAACAGTGGATTATCTTCAACTTAGATCAAAATGAAGTCATTACTACAGTGAAACACAAGAATAAGATGCTACATTTCTTCCTTTTTAACTTAAAGTGAACTCTTCCACCTATTAGTTACTGACCTTTATATCGTTTAATATGAAAATATAATTACGAAGATCTTACAGATTTAAATTAAAGGTTATTTGTAAAATGAGTCCTTATAGTTACGTCTAACTAGAAATGTTTGCGTCTCAGGTTTTATATTTACTTAAATACTGTTCTTGCTGTTGTACATTGTTCTGTATATGGGCTCCGTTAGATTCATTCTTATTTCAAAAATTTAAACTATTTTTAGTAATTTTGTTATGCTTAGAAGAACATCGAACTTTGCTTCTCCAGTCACAGACACCAAAGTTTTGGTCGAAAACGAGCATAATTGGACATCTGTGTTTATAAATTCTTCCATTCACACACGTGTAAAATCGATTACAGTCTTCGGAATCTGCAAATAGTCCATCTCGAGAACACTTTGAAGAATCGACAGATCTGGGAGGATTATGACAGGCAACATTTCGTGGCCAGTCGCAGGACTGCAATTTTGTATTAAAGTATAGCCCAGATGGACAATCCATTCGGAATGCCCTTAATCCAAAGCATTGATAAAAACTGCTGCAATCGATGGGATCTTGAAAGAAACCATTTCTTAAACAGAAGAATGATGGCTTGAGAGTAGGGTTGGAGGTCGTCAAGCCTGGATATATAACAGTCGTTTGTGGATCCATGTGGTCAGCAGTGGGTGATGAACCTACTCTTTGGGAAGTAGATGGAGGATCGGGGTAATCAGGAGTAGGAGGTGGGTCCGGTAAGGTGTATTTATTTCGATCGAATGGAGGCTCCGTTTCTAAGAAAGAAATAAACCAATAAACTTTTGGCGGGTTTAGTTTTTACAAAATACTGCAACGTTTCAAAGTATCGTATCTTATTTAACAATTTTTGTTAAAGTTACTGTGATATTAACTATGAAAAACAACATAGGAGAGTGTGCATGCTAGTAAGAAATGAAAACAAAATCACCTGACAAAATTTTAAGAAACAACTTAAGACTAAGTGTACAGTAGTAAAAAAGAAGAAGAAAATTCAGATGAAATAAGAAACTAAAAAGTAAGTGCATACTTATAAAAAAACTCCCTTGAAAAAAATGTGAAAAAACAACTTAAGACGAAGTGCATACTAGTAAAAAAGAAAAAATATCCTATATAAAAAAAAGATCTTGCTCCTTCCTCAGGTGTTTCTTATCTTTTAATAACATCGTTTAAAGTATAACAAAATGAGAGGAAAACCTATTTTCCTCTCATTTCAAATGACAAGTAAAATACCTAATACGATGATTTAAGTTATAATCATTGCCCTCATATTATCCCTTAATAACTTTTTGATGATTCTAAAACCTTTTCAAACTATTTACTGTGGATTATAAAGCTTTATCTACTTACTTATTATTTATTCGACAGCCTGTTGTAATCACTTATTATTGATTCTAAAGCCTATTTTAATTACTTATTATTGTACAGAGGCGTAGCCAAGGGGGGGGGGGCAAGGAGGCCCAGCCTTCTCTCGAAAAAATCTAGGCCTATTGATTACATATTATTTTTCAGCTTTTGTATATACTAAACTCATTTTGTATCATTAAAGATAAACAAATAAAACTTCTACAAACACGAATACGTTGGACTTGTATTAATGACCATTTTATTAAAAATTTAGATCAATTTTATGTTTTTAATTTATTGGCCCCCTTTAAATTTTCTGCCCCCCTCGAGTGGAAACCTGGCTACGCCACTGTTATTGTAGCGTTATTCTTTCGTTGGCAGATTTTTTAAGTTTATCTGATGAAAATAATTCAATGTTCAGTCCACGTGAAAAAAAAACAAATAACTTTATTTTCTCCTTTAACATTTCTGCAAGCTTGTACACTGGCGTAACTTGTTGTAGGCCTACGTAACAAATAGCGTTCGAACCTCTCTAACAGTACTATGACTAACATAAAATCAAATTATTTGTACAAAGTAACATAATAAGTCAGACAGTAAGCACAGATCCAAATACTTCAACGAAATCACACTGACTGATTCAACTTGCTATCTTTAAAACAACTCCACACACTTCACAACTATTTTGTATTTATACTCTAGCTTTGAATTACGAGAAAAAAACTTGACGTGAACTTAAAATTTTCTAGGCCTACTTAATGTCATCATTGGGGCCGCAGCTCCCTTTAGCTAATAAACAAATTGCAACATTAAGAAAATATAGCTTATACATCACTGTTGAATATAAAACCTGTTCAAAGTACTTATTGTTATTCTTGTAGCTTGTTTATTTCTGTCCAAATAAATGATTATTAGCTTTGCTGATATTTTATTTAGACATAAAAATGTTCATGTTTAATGTGCCTTAGTAATTTACTAGACAGGCTTTTGATCTCTTCTACTTGAGATTTTTAAGTCTATATCTTTATGTTTAGCTAAATATATTTGAATTGTGTTACAGGTGAAACATTTGTATATCTAGGTGTTTATGATATATTCAACTGAATTCTGAAAGTTTCGCTGTTGTTTTTAAGAGATAAAAATACAACAGAAAACGACTGGTCTGTAGAACCCTATTTACATAAACACAACTTTTTATCATGTTAAGTCGATATCTAATAGGAGCAAATATTTGGTTTCCGAAATACCTTGTCCATGACTATCTTAACTTCAACGTGGTCTAGTTTTATGTAATGCCTATTTTGATTTAAAGCAAACAATAAGAATTTTCTCAGCTAGAAAATGAATTTTCTCTACCTTTAAATACTGCGAAATATTATGATAAATGTTGTTGTTGCTGTTTCATCCTTTTGAGCGGCTATAGTTCACTTGTCTTCAATGAAATTATAATGTTAGGACGTTTTACTGCAAAATATACTATTATTACTTTCTTACCAATAACTACATAATTTTGAGACACAAATAAAAACTGTTTTATTGCAAGATTCATGATACAATGGTAATGTAGTATTTTAATTATATGTTATATTCTGTTCGTACTTTAATAAGTTTTTAACTTTACCCATAGATGTCGCGATTAACTTATATAAGAATGATAAATTTGTTGTTAAGCGCAAAGTTACGCCATGGGTTATCTGTGCTGTTCCCACCACGGGTATCGAAACCAGGTTTTTAGCATTACAAGTCTTCGGACTTACCACTGTGCCACTTTAATTGTTCAGAAAAACGAAACAAACAAAAAAATGTCAGCACACAAATATAAATAATCTAGCGTTAATTTTTGTTTCTTAGCTATAACAAATTCCATATTTGTATTCTACTAGCCTAATATTCAGAGAAGTAAATAAATCAAAAGGAAATATTTGTGTGTCATAGTAATACTTAAAGAAAATAATTTGTATGTTTGTGCGCAATGAGTTAAATGTTATGCTTTGTATTATAATTGTTTTCTTTATCTTATGGTATACAAAAAAATCCATGATATAGACCAACAAATATGGGAAGTACGGCCTGGGTAGGCTAGCTTGATTAAACTAAAACAAATGGATATTTGGTTACATCTATTGATATCAAAAGTGTTGGTTATATCTTTTATCCACAAAAGTGTGAGTAGTAGCACACTGGTAATAAAACGTTCAACTTCAACAAAACAGAATTTAGACATAAGCTCGTTGACTTTTGGATAACACTGTTTATAAGACAAATAATAAAAATGAAGATATGTGTTTTACACAGTTGTTGGAATAGAGTTTTGTAACATGAAAAGTCTTTGCTTGTTATTTTGTGTCACAAAACTGGGCAATTTACAACATTAAATAGCGCTTTTAAAAAATGTTATTTTGTGTCACCAACAATGAAGTTAAAGAAAAAATCATGCATTAAATATTTCTTCTCACTTTTCACACAACCGGAATTATAAAAGTCAACTAGATTGTGTTAACAATACTGTTATGATGTAAAATGTTTTTTTTTCTTATTTTTTATTCCTTTTCACGCAATGGGAATTATAAAAGTCAACTAGACTATGTTAACAATACTGTTATGATGTAAAATGTTTTTTTCTTATTCCTTTTCACGCAATGGGAATTATAAAAGTCAACTAGACTATGTTAACAATACTGTTATGATGTAAAATGTTTTTTTCTTATTTCTTATTCCTTTTCATACAACGGGAGTTAAAAGTCAACTAGATTGTGTTAACAATACTGTTGTAACGTAAAATTGTTTCTTTTCATTACATTTGCAGGGAATAATAACCTTTGCAATACCTTTTTATTTTTAAAATTAAACCAGAAAATAATAGAATTGGACAAGACGAACTACGGACTTAAAATTTATTGATAAGCGTTTTTATATAATTATGTTTACAGAAGGGGTAAAAATTAAAACAAACAAACAATCAAACAAATAAACTAGTTAAAAACATACGTCACAGCAGACGATAATTGGTTGAACGTAGATTTGTTACTGAAGCGCTAAACTGGAAAAAATGTTCAGTGGAGAACTCATTATAACGGAGTCGGAAAAAGTTGATACAAAATTATTCAGAAATTTAATCTATTATAGGGTTAAATTTAAAACGTAGAGTCAAAGGACAGGAATACATGTCGCAAAGGAAGAATTGTTTGGTTTTTAAAGCTAAGCACAAAGCTACACAATGGGCTATCTGTGCTCTGCCTACCACGAGTATCGAAAGCCGGTTTCTAGCGTTGTAAGACCTGAGACATACTGCTGTGCCACTAGGGAGCTATAGATACTTATAAAATAATTTAATGTATCATTGTTTACTGCAGACATTCCCAACCTGGGGTACATGTACTCCCAGGGATACATTTGTACTTCTCAGGGGGTACATAGGGGTCTAAAATAGCTTTATTTTAGGGGGAAAATATATTAAAAGTAGAAGCAATGGTACAATATTGTAATGTAACGTTTTTAAAAATGTTAATGCAGTCGAAAAACAAGTTTGGGCTATCTTTTCGCAACTGTCCCTGATTTTCAACTGATAGACAATATACATGGAAGGCAATTGATCAATAGCACCCATCGCTAGCTCTTGATCTACTCATGTCTGATCGAAGAGTGGGATTTGACTGTCACTCTTATAGCAAATTCACGACTCCAAAGTACGGATCAAGCTTTTGCGGCAAGGGGGACACGACCCACGAACTCTCCAGTTCATAGACTGGACATGGACTGTGAATCCTGACCGACACTCGGAAAACAAATAAACATATAACGTAAAATGATTGCTGGAAGTCACATTTCTACTCTTTTTTGTTTTCTTTTCCCCGAGAGCTTAGCGGTAAACTTAAGAGATTATAACACTAAAATTCAGAGTTCAATCCAGGCAGAGGCACCACACAAATAGCCCATTAGGCAGTTTTTTGCTTAACGACAGACAAATTCTGCTTGTTATACGAAACCCATGTACACTAAGGGAGAAAAAATACTTGCGGCCCGGCGTTGCCAGGTGGTTAGGGCGCTTGACTCGCTATCTGAGGGTCGCGGGTTCGAATCCCCGTCTTATTAAACATGCTTGGCCTTTCAGCAGTGGGGGCGTTACAATGTGACGGACAATCTCACTATTAGTTGGTAAAAGAGTAGTCCGAGAGTTGGTGGTGGGTGGTGATGACTAACTGCCTTCCCTCTAGTCTATCACTGTTAAATTAGGGACGGCTAGCGCAGATAGCTCTCGTGTAGCTTTGCGCAAAATTCAAAATACAAACAAACAAAAACACTTGCAGTTATTTTTTAAAAAGGCCAAAAAATAGCATTCTTAACTTTTAGTTTAGTAGGACATTTCACTAACGTACCAGAATATAACGTAGGGCATTATAATGATAATATT